GCTTTCAAACCAAAGGTGACAATAGAAAAATATTTACGGCTGGAAGAATAATAGTAAATATTATTATCATTAATATAATAATTATTATTATTATTCTAATTTTTATTATTATTCTAATTATTTTTATTATAACTACAATAATAATTATTATAATTATTTTATTATTATTCTTATTCTAAGCAATGACAACCCATGCTATAGCTGTCACCAAGAGACTGTGATTTACTTGACAATAATATTATCTAATGGTAATTATTATTACTATTATTATTTTTATTATTATTTTTATTATTATTTTTATTGTTACTTTTACTAGTCTGATTGGCAGTAGTTGTAGTAGTAGCAACAGTTGTAGTAGTAGTAGTAGTAGTAGTAGCAGTAGTAGTAGTAGTAGTAGCAGTGATAGCAGTAGTAGTAGTAGCAGCAGCAGTGGTAGTAGTTGTTGTAACCACTACGGTAATTATGATTAATTATGGTATAATTGCAGCAAAATTGTTGTTATAATCAAAAAGCTTGTCTGTGATATTCTTCTCCTTCTATTTTTTTTTCTTCTTCTTCTTCTTCTTATTATTATTATTACTATTATGCGTAATAATCTGCAGCAGTAGGTACTTATTTAATTACCCAATGATCTTATCGCTTTCTCCATCGGGTCCTAATAAATTAACATAACCCTCCTCATCATAATAATAATAATAATAATAATAATAATAATCATTATCAGCACAATCGCCGTTTTAATAATCATCATCATCGTCGTCATAATCATCTTCATCACTATCATCATCACCAGCATCATCAACATCATTACCGTAATCATCATCATCATAATCATCATCAAAAGATTGATACCCGACAGTTTAATTGCAGAAGAAATAAAGCGATACGTATGTAAAGATTTTCGTCGTTGTTGTTGTTGTTGTTGACGATGTTGTTGTTGATGTTGATGTTGTTGTTGATGTTGATGTTTATGTTGTTGTTGTTGTTGATGTTGTGGTTGTTGATGTTGATGTTTATGTTGTTGTTGATGTTGTTGTTGTTGATGTTGCTGTTGTTGTTTTTGATGATGATGACGATGATGATATTTATGTTATTCACCCGTTATTGTTACAACAGATGTTTATATTTATTTATTTCAATATATTGTTATTGTAGTTAAGTTATTGTAATGACAACAACAACAACAATAATAATTGTTGTTGTTATTATTATTATTATTATTATTGTTGTTGTTGTTGTTGTTTTATATCACTTTCGTATTGTTAGGAACTTGCAAAGAGCTTGTCATTTTATTAATGCAATGTGTCTAATTTATTAGTCAATAATCTATCTCACGAATTTTTATTATTCTTATTATTATTATATTGTCGTTATTATTATTATTGTTATTAATGTTGTTGTTGTTATTGTTGTTATTATTATTGTTATTGTTGTTGTTATATTCGTTGTAACATTAATAGTGTTGTTAGCTGCTGATGTTGATGTTTTTAAATTATCAGTCGCAACTGTAGTAGCAGTAGTAGTAGAAGAAGCTTGTAATAGTAGTAGTAGTAGTAGAAGAAGCTAGTAGTAGTAGGTAGTAGTAGTAGTAGTAGTAGAAGAAAGTAGTAGTAGTAGTAGTAGCAGCTATAGTAGTAGTAATGTTAGTAGTAGTAGTAGTAGAAGTAAAAATGGTCATACGTTTTGAGATTTACACCAACAGCTTGTTGTCATTCAAGTATGTGTGTGCGTGTGTGTATGTGCGTGTGTGTGTGTGCGTGTGTGTTTGTGTGAGTGTGTGTGTGTGTCTATGATTTTTATACAACAGTAACAATTACTTAAGAAACAACAACAGCAACAACAACAGCAACAACAACAACATCAAATGAAATGACATGACATGATGTATAACCTAACAAGTCTTCATCGTTCTGCACAGCCGTTGTCGTTGTTATACATTTGTTTGGCGCTACATAATGTGAGATTAATATATTATTGGCTAGAATTTTTGTTTTTATTATTATTGTTATTATTACATTTTTACATTCCATGTAAATTAACGTAATGTTTTAGGCAGTATTTGTTACAAATTTAATTGCTGTTTTCTTCCACAGTTCGATCTTTTATTCCTTTACTTATTTATTTATTCAGCCATTTATTCGTTCTATCATTCAATCATTCATTCATTCAATCACTCATTCATCTAAATATTCATTCATTCGTTTAGTTTGTCACCTGTTTAATCCATTCAACGGTTCATACATTCATTTGTTTATCTATTCGTTCATTCTTTCATTCGCTCATTCATTTGTACATTCATAAATTCACTTTTTTGCACCAAATACAGCTATTGTATAGATATTTTATATCTTTTTCTTTGACATCTTGAATGAAAAAAATAAATTATTATTTTCAAGATAAAAATTATTTCATAATAATAATAATAATAATAATAATAATAATAATAATAATAGATGTTTGACATGAATGTAAAATGTATATAAAAAATGTATACACACACACAACAC